CTCACTATCCTCGTAAAAACTCTTCACTGCTTTCAGTAACCTACCTCCTACACCATACACCTGCAATATCTGCCACATTGCCCCCCTATCCACCCTGTCATATGCCTTTTCCAAATCCATAAATGCCACAAAGACCTCTTTAGCCTTATCTAAATACTGTTCACTTATATGTTTCACTGTAAACACCTGGTCCACACACCCCCTACCTTTCCTAAAGCCTCCTTGTTCATCTGCTATCCTATTCTCCGTCTTACTCTTAATTCTTTCAATAATAACTCTACCATACACTTTACCAGGTATACTCAACAGACTTATCCCCCCTATAATTTTTGCACTCTCTTTTGTCCCCTTTGCCTTTATACAAAGGAACTGTGCATGCTCTCTGCCAATCCCTAGGTACCTTACCCTCTTCCATACATTTATTAAATAATTGCACCAACCACTCCAAAACTATATCCCCACCTGCTTTTAACATTTCTATCTTTATCCCATCAATCCTGGCTGCCTTACCCCCTTTCATTTTACCTACTGCCTCATGAACTTCCCCCACACTCACAACTGGCTCTTCCTCACTCCTACAAGATGTTATTCCTCCTTGCCCTATACACGAAATCACAGCTTCCCTATCTCCATCAACATTTAACAATTCCTCAAAATATTCCCTCCATCTTCCTAATACCTCTAACTCTCCATTTAATAACTCTCCTCTCCTATTTTTAACTGACAAATCCATTTGTTCTCTAGGCTTCCTTAACTTGTTAATCTCACTCCAAAACTTTTTCTTATTTTCAACAAAATTTGTTGATAATATCTCACCCACTCTCTCATTTGCTCTCTTTTTACATTGCTTCACCACTCTCTTAACCTCTCTCTTTTTCTCCATATACTCTTCCCTCCTTGCATCACTTCTACTTTGCAAAAACTTCTCACATGCCAACTTTTTCTCCCTTACTACTCTCTTTACATCATCATTCCACCAGTCGCTCCTCTTCCCTTCCGCACCCACTTTCCTGTAACCACAAACTTCTGCTGAACACTCTAACACTACATTTTTAAACCTACCTCATACCTCTTCGACCCCATTGCCTATGCTCTCATTAGCCCATCTATCCTCCAATAGCTGTTTATATCTTACCCTAACTGCCTCCTCTTTTAGTTTATAAACCTTCACCTCTCTCTTCCCTGATGCTTCTATTCTCCTTGTATCCATCCCATCTACCTTTTACTCTCAGTGTAGCTACAACTAGAAAGTGATCTGATATATCTGTGGCCCCTCTATAAACATGTACTTCCTGAAGTCTACTCAACAGTCTTTTATCTACCAATACATAATCCAACAAACTACTGTCATTTTGCCCTACATCATATCTTGTATACTTATTTATCCTCTTTTTCTTAAAATATATATTACCTATAACTAAACCCCTTTCTATACAAAGTTTAATCAAAGGGCTCCCATTATCATTTACACCTGGCACCCCAAACTTACCTACCACACCCTCTCTAAAAGTTTCTCCTACTTTAGCATTCAGGTCCCCTACCACAATTACTCTCTCACTTGGTTCAAAGGCTCCTATACATTCACTTAACATCTCCCAAAATCTCTCTCTCTCCTCTACATTCCTCTCTTCTCCAGGTGCATACACGCTTATTATGACCCACTTTTCGCATCCAACCTTTACTTTAATCCACGTAATTCTTGAATTTACACATTCATATTCTCTTTTCTCCTTCCATAACTGATCCTTCAATATTACTGCTACCCCTTCCTTTGCTCTAACTCTGTCAGATACTCCAGATTTAATCCCATTTATTCCCCCCACCGTAACTCCCCTACCCCTTTCAGCTGGTTTCTTTTTCTGTCTCATAAACACCCTAGATAACAGGGATATCTTGCTACTCCTACTTACACTTTGGTCACACTTCACAGACACGCACATGCATATATATATATATATATACGTACATCTAGGTTTTTCTCCTTTTTCTAAATAGCTCTTGTTCTTCTTTATTTCTTCTATTGTCCATGGGGAAGTGGAAAAGAATTTTTCCTCCGTAAGCCATGCGTGTCGTATGAGGCGACTAAAATGCCGGGAGCAATGGGCTAGTAACCCCTTCTCCTGTAGACATTTACTAAAAAAGAGAAGAATACTGTAATAATTGTGTAAATAACATCAACCACTTCATGACTGCATATTAGGATGGCTAGTTGGGCATTTATTGGACAATGACATCATTTGTTTACTTTTGAACATCAGCAAAAATCAAACATTTCCCCTACTTTGAGCTCCATTTCCAGGTTCTTTTTATAGTAAAATCAATCAAAATCACCTCTATTTCTATAATATGTTTACCATTCTACCAAATGAGACCAAGAAAACGAGAATACAACCATAAATACTATACGAAAATAGACCACAAAGTCGGCATTTTAATTAAAAAAAACGGTCGGAGTTTTTTTTTTTCATTATGCATTGCATGCTCCAGGATTTTTTTTATATGGTGCACACTGACCACACAGACCCATTCTCTCACATGTGGGCCTACCAGCTTTCTCCTGGTTGATTTGAAACCGCTACAATTTATGAGTATATATACGTCAAACACGGTACCTCGTAAGACGTATATATACGGCCGCGACAGTCAAAGGGTTAAGGGTAATAGACAAAGCCTGGGGTAAAGTTTCTTTGAAAACAATGAACTCTGCCTGGAAGAAATTGTGGCCAGACTGTGTGTCAGTCAGATTTTGAAGGCTGTGAGGCAGAGCCTATAGTGAAAGATATTGTTTCTCTGGGCCAGTCCATGGGTTTGGAAATGGATGATAAGGATGTACAGGAGTCGGTGGAGGATCACAAGAATGAGCTGGCCACAGAAGAACCTCAAGACCTGCACAAGGAGCAGCAAGAAGTGGTTGAGGAGGGAACCAGTGAGGGCAACATTTCCACTGCAGAAATTAAAGAACTGTATTACCATTGGGCTTCAACACAGAGGCTGGTGGAAAATGGCATCCTAACATTACTGTTGGGAATAGGAGCATCATCCTGTTTAATGACAATGTTGCAGACTACTTTAGAAAATTTTTGAAAAGTTGTCAAAAGCAGACAACATTGAACAACTTCTTTAGCAAAGAAAAATACCAAATGCTGGTGAATTGTCATCATCTTCAAGTGTTACTGCACATAGACAGAAAAGAGAAAAAATACCAAATAGGCAGTTAGCTGATGTTTTTCTGGAAGGTGACACCCTTTCCAAACAATATCATCTCTCCACCTTCCTCTTAGGCCATCAGCACTCTTCAGTAAAGGTAAAGTGCAGTTAAATTTTAGTTTATTTCATGTATTTGTTTTTATAGTTTTCATGTATGATTTTATCCATGCTAATATTATTACACAGGTTTAAATAAGCAATATTTTCACTCAAAATGATTTATAATTGGTAATTTTTTGGGGTCTGGAACAGATTAATCCCATTTACATTATTTTTTATGGGAAAAATTGATTCAGTATTCGTTCAACTCACTATTCAAACAGCCTCCTAGAACAGATTAAGTTTGAATATTGAGGTACTACTGTATAAATTTTTTGAAGAATTTAGATAGTAAAAGAAGGTTTGATATAAGTCTATAATTATTCACTTTAGTTGGACTGCCTCCTTTGAGGATTGGGGTAACCCTTGCTGTCTTGAGTATGGATGGGAAAGTTGAAGATTCAGCTGATTTGTTGAGCAGAGTTGCAGTCGTGCTAAACTGCTAAATATCACACTAACCCCTTGAGGGTCCATGCCATAGTTTTATGGCTTTAAAGTCAGTGTCCAAGCCGTAGTTTTTTGCCATGAACTTAGCTCACGCAGATAATCTGTGAGCAGTAAATTTGGGCATAGATATGAGAGAATGGGCTTACATAGTAAGTATGCACCATATAAAAAATCTCCTGCAGCACGCACAATGAGAAAAAAACTGTGACTGTGTTTTCGGCTTAAAAGAGCGATTTGCTGTGTTTTTCGTATGGTTTTCATGGTTGCATTCTCAGTTTCTTGGGCTCATGTGATAGAATGGAAGATATAGAAATAGGGATGATTTTGATGGGTTTTAGGACTGAAGATAAAATGAAATCGAGCTCAAAGTAGCGGAAATGTTCATTTTTGCCGATGTTCAAGAATAAACAAATTACATCATGTGTCCAACACACATCAGTTGGTGGGTCTAATGTGCTTTCATGAATGCACTGATATTATTGATACAATTATTACATAATAGTAAATCTTCTGGTTTTTTTTTATGTGAATAAAAATTATTTATGAATAATAAATCAAAATGGAATTCATGTAACTAATGAACAGAGGAAATGTTATTTTAGTACCAGGAATGCTTGCATTGTTTATTCTGGACCCTGTTTTGAAATTGTAACATTTTAAAATTTGTATGATATTGGCAAAATTACCAATTTCTGATCACTTTACTGGGTAGTTGAAATAGCTGATTGGGCAATTTCTTGTACTCACTCGATAAAATGGAAAACATACTAGTGAAATGGTTAAGAAATTGGTTGACTAGAACAGTGTAATTGGCCTAAAATAGGACTCAAAATGGGCAAAATCGTCGGTGTAAATATCGCTAACACTGCAAAATTCATGATAGCGTAATTTTGTCAGTACTCCATTGAATTTCATACTTTTTGTTATATTACTTTCAGAAAAACATTCTCTACCATTTCACAATAAAAATAAATTTTGGGGGGAAAATTCTTGGACCCTGTGGACATGTTTCAGATTAGGGGTCTGGACTATGAAGGGGTTAAATACCAGAAGTTCTTTTATTGCGAATTGAATAATAATCATAATAATAATACTTTATTATTATTACTGTTATTGTGATCAGAGGGGAGTGATAACCAGTATGGATCATACAGTGCCTGGGATGGTGTTTTTATGTGAATGACTAAAGATTCTAGGAAGTACAGTATATCAGTATTGATTTAAATTGTTTTGTGTTGTGTCAACAGGAAACGGCCCATGTCCAAGATCAGCATGTCACATGATGCCGCTCTCTGATGGTCGAGTGATTATATATGGTGGCTACAGCAAGGAGAAGATCAGTAAGGATGTTGATAAAGGAGTCACACACTCAGACATGTTCATCCTGGCTCCTGACAGTAAGTTAATATCACACTCTCAGACATGTTCTTCCTGACACTAAGTTAAGGTCAAGATACTCAGGATACATTTCAGTGATATATATATCATGTGTTATGTTACATTGGTGATGGCCACAGTCACAGCCCATGACGGTGGTGCCACAACAACTACTGGTGAACCTGTTAATGATGAACCTCACTGGTGAGCCTCACTGTTACTGGTGAAACTCACTGTTACTGGTGACTCTCTCTGTTACTAGTGAGCCTCATTGTTACTGATGAGCCTCATTGTTACTAGTGAACCTCAATGTTGCTGATGACCCTCACTGTTACTGGTGAGCCTCACTGTTACTAGTGAACCTCACTGTTACTGGTGAACCTCACTGGTGAACCTCACTGCTACTGGTGAACCCTCACTGCTACTGGTGAACCCTCACTGCTGCTGATGAACCCTCACTGCTACTGGTGAGCCACACTGAAGGAGACTTAGTTACTGTTTTGTCGTAGCAACAATGACTGGGGAATATTCATGTGTCTCACTTGTCCACCAGTGTAAAGTGTTCTCAAACAAGTTTTTCACATATATGCCTCCTAGTAAAAAATGTTACCTGTGGAGGCAAAGAAGGGAATACAGTGGTCCCTCGATAATCATAAGGCTCGATAGTCATAATTTTTGAAAATCGTAATGTTATTTTTGTCAAAACATTGGCTCGCAAATAGTCGTTCGTCTGGGACGTGTACACATAACCTGGAGCCGCCTCACACTCCATTCCCAGCCAGTGTGTCATTTATCAGTGAGTGAGGATGATCCCATGAGTTCATACAATACATTTCATAATATTCCATTCGTTTTAGCGCTTGCAACTGCTAAATAAGTCACCATGGCTCCAAAGAAAGCTTCTAGTGCCAGCCCTTTGGTAAAGAATGTGAGAAACACATATAATATAAAAAAAGTTTGTAGAAAAATATGAAGGTGGTAGTGGTAGAGTGGAAGCAGTTGTGATAGTGGTTGATGGTGGTATAGGGTGGTAGTGATGGTCGTAGAAGGTGGTAGTGATGGTGGTAGCAGTTGTAATAGTGGTAGAAGGTGGTAGTGATGGTAGTAGCAGTTGTAAAAGTGGTAGAAGGTGGTAGTGATGGTGGTAGAGGGTGGTAGTGGTTGTGATGGTGGTACAGGGTGGTAGTGGTTGTGATGGTGGTAGACGGTGCCTTCTTCAGTGATTCAGCAATTCTACTAACTCCTCCAATGATGTTGGAGTTATATAGGGCTACAGCAAACACCGCCGCCTCAGCTGCTGCTTCACCACCATTATGGACGGCTTACTCTCAGTGGCCCTTATACACCCAACAACAACACAACAGAACACCTCGTGACATACATAATGACTTATTTTGTTCATTTTAGAGTATATTCCATATGGCTTTGCATACAGGGTCCAAACCATAGATCTATGCCAAAATTCTAGCGGCGTCAAATTTAGGGCGAGAAGGCTGGTAGGCCTACATCTGAGAGAATGGGTCTGGGTGGTCAGTGTGCACACCACAGAAAAAATCTGGACGCCCGCATGGCATTGTGGGAATGCCGGCAAAGTAGCTTTGTTCATTGTGCCTGGCGGCAAGGAAGCTCTCACTCCCCACTCACTCTCCGGGCGAATTCTGACTCTCCTCTTCACAACTTACAGTTCTAAGACTGATGGAAGTGGAGCTGAAGACGAATTCTGTGGTTTTGAACAATATGGTACCATTGTGCTATATGGTACAATGGTACCATATGGTTCAATGGTGCCATGTCATACATTGGTATCATATGGTACAATGGTATCATATGGTACAATGGTATCATATGGTACAATGGTACCATATGGTACAATGTACCATATAGTACATTGTACCATATGGTACATTAAACCATATGGTACAGGGTACAGGGACCCTAATGGAAATAAGTCTGTCTGACTTTTTTGGGTTATCCTAGGTTCTCCAAACATATGCTGCTAAGTATGATATTCTATGTAACTTTATTTGTGTATTATTAAATAAACTTATTATGATGCCACATGCTCTTGAGTAAGTTTATTCAGGTGTACAGAAATACAATTACATAGATTATCATACATAGCAGCATACGTATAAAATCCTAGGATAACCCAAAAAAGTCAGGGTGACATTTCCATAGTTATCCCTGTATCTGTACCATATGGTGTCCTGTACTGTATGGTACCCTGTACCATATGGTACCCTGTGCCATGTGGTACTCTCTACCATATGGTACCCTGTGCCATATGGTACCCTGTACCATATGGTACCCTGTACCATATGGTACCCTGTACCATATGGTACCCTGTACCTTTTGGTACCCTGTACCATATGGTACCCTGTACCATATGGTACCCTATACCATATGGTGGCATGAGACACCAGCCAAGACTGAGTGGCGATGCAAGCTAGCTACTGACTCCGCAGTTTCCGAGACAAAGTGCTTTGTCATCCACCTCAAGGAACACGTCAAGTTCCTGTACATTTGTAAATATATAATAGAACATTACTAATATACAACATTTTTGCATATTTTTGTTGTGAACAACTATTGTAAACAAAATAATAATGAAAATATTAGTGTGTTTATTGTGTTGAATACAACAGTACCATATGGTACAATGAACCATATGGTATCATTGTACTGTATGGTACAATGTACCATATGATACCATTGCAATGGTACCATTGCAATGGTACCAACTCACCCACCAACCCAGGTGACTCCACAACAAGAACACCAACTGTGACTGACTCCCTCTCTACCTCTACTGCCTTCATAGGATTTAACCCAGCTGATATGCTCCCAGGTATGATTAATGATCCTGACACTCTAAAGCACTACATCACCACCCTAACGGCGCATAACACGAACCTTCATGCTGAAAATATGTCTCTCCGTGCAGCAATAACAAACCATGAATCTAAGTTACTTTACATTGAGAACAAGATCAACAACCTTGATCAACAGCTCCAATCATCTGGCATGACTGATTTTGGCAAGACCTTCCAATCAGTCATAGCCAGTCACACTGATCAAATAACTTCCCTAAACACGAAGATTGATAATGCCGTCAAGGACTGGAAAACAAACATGGATACCCAATTGAACAATTATTTTGCTAACCAAGATGACAAGACAGAGCAAGACAAGTTATCTGATGCAGTAATAATTAACACTCCACTCTTTCCCAGCAAATTAAATCATACAGAGTGCAAAGATACAACTCTCCAGATCATTCGTGACCACCTACATGTTAATGTACCAGTGTCAGAAATAAAAGAATCGCGGTTACCAGGGAACCAAGGCAGAAAAAGTGTTATGCTCAGATTTCACACACAAGACAGGAAAAAAGATCTAATAATTTCATCTATCAAAGCAAAAAAAGTTATATACATAAACGGGTGTCTCACAAAAAACGACCGAACCTCCTGTTTACCTGGACCTGGAGTTTACCTGGAGAGAGTTCCGGGGCTCAACGCCCCCACGGCCCAGTCTGTGACCAGGCCTCCTGGTGGATCAGAGCCTGATCAACCAGGCTGTTACTGCTGGCTGCATGCCAACCAACGTACGAGCCACAGCCCGGCTGGTCAGGTACCGACTTTAGGTGCTTGTCCAGTGCCAGCTTGAAGACTGCCAGGGGTCTATTGGTAATCCCCCTTATGTATGCTGGGAGGCAGTTGAACAGTCTCAGGCCCCTGACACTTATTGTTTGGTCTCTTAACGTGCTAGTGACACCCCTGCTTTTCATTGGGGGGATGTTGCATCGTCTGCCAAGTCTTTTGCTTTCGTAGTGAGTGATTTTCGTGTGCAAGTTCGGTACTAGTCCCTCTGGGATTTTCCAGGTGTATATAATCATGTATCTCTCCCGCCTGCATTCCAGGGAATACACTGTACAGGTTCAGGAGCCTCAAGCGCTCCCAGTAATTGAGGTGTTTTATCTCCGTTATGCGTGCCATGAAGGTTCTCTGTACATTTTCTAGGTCAGCAATTTCACCTGCCTTGAAAGGTGCTGTTAGTGTGCAGCAATATTCCAGCCTAGATAGAACAAGTGACCTGAAGAGTGTCATCATGGGCTTGGCCTCCCTAGTTTTGAAGGTTCTCATTATCCATCCTGTCATTTTTCTAGCAGCAGCGATTGATACAATGTTATGGTCCTTGAAGGTGAGATCCTCCGACATGATCACTCCCAGGTCTTGGACGTTGGTGTTTCACTCTATTTTGTGGCCAGAATTTGTTTTGTACTCTGATGAAGATTTAATTTCCTCGTGTTTACCATATCTGAGTAATTGAAATTTCTCATCGTTGAACTTCATATTGTTTTCTGCAGCTCACTGAAAGATTTGGTTGATGTCCGCCTGGAGCCTTGCAGTGTCTGCAATGGAAGACACTGTCATGCAGATTCGGGTGTCATCTGCAAAGGAAGACATGGTGCTGTGGCTGACATACTTGTCTATGTCAGATATGAGGATGAGGAACAAGATGGGAGTGAGTACTGTGCCTTGTGGAACAGAGCTTTTCACCGTAGCTGCCTCGGACTTGACTCTGTTGACGACTACTCTCTGTGTTCTGTTTGTGAGGAAATTATAGATCCATCGACCAACTTTTCCTGTTATTCCTTTAGCACGCATTTTGTGCGCTATTACACCATGGTCACACTTGTCGAAGGCTTTTGCAAAGTCTGTATATATTACATCTGCATTCTTTTTGTCTTCTAGTGCATCTAGGACCTTGTCATAGTGATCCAATAGTTGAGACAGACAGGAGCGACCTGTTCTAAACCCATGTTGCCCTGGGTTGTGTAATTGATGGGTTTCTAGATGGGTGGTGATCTTGCTTCTTAGGATCCTTTCAAAGATTTTTATGATATGGGATGTTAGTGCTATCAGTCTGTAGTTCTTTGCTATTGCTTTACTGCCCCCTTTGTGGAGTGGGGCTATGTCTGTTGTTTTTAGTAACTGTGGGACGACCCCCGTGTCCA